ATTTTTGGAAAATATATGCAGCCAGAACATAAATAAGCAAGTGCTCCATTTTGTCACTTTTTAATCTTCAGTGTTTATGTGCAAATAGTTCAGATAGGTGTACACTACAGGAATTTAAAACAATACTATGTTACTGCAAAGACAACACTAAGTTACTGCAAGAAAGCAGTAACATAGCTTTCTAATAAGAAAAAACATTCTTGGAGCATAATTTCAATATATGCTTAGTGGAGATGATTGCAGAGTACGTATGCATTTGGGCCACCTCAAAAGAACCCAACAACATAAATTATAACTTGGTGTGGTTTGATATTCCACTTTCTGCTCAGTCAGTGTTATAAATTACTGCAGTGTCTATTTGTCCATCTGTGTTTACGGAATCAGTAAACTGTCTGAGAAGTTTAAGGTATGTGAGAAATTTATACCATGAGCATCCTTCAAGGCTTACAGTTTTAAAAAAGTTCACAAAGACATGAGTAAAGCTTTGCAGAACTGCCTATCACTGTTTTTTTTACTAGTTTACACACACACTGTTGATACAAAATACTGAATATTCAATTGAAAGTGTGGTACATGTATGACACGTAGCTAAAGTATTTTTTTTTGTGAAATGCTTTTACAGGGGAGAAGAACCCAGCAGGTTTTCTTGGGGAAAACCCCCTAGAAACCTCCACATATGTTGATTTATATGTACACTGTAAAAGTGAATGGATCAAATCTTTCACTCTACACATGAAAACTGTATATTGGTGTTTGTCTTTCACGTCTCAGGTGAGAGGTGTCAGCCTCTCATGTAGGTGTGGTAAAGTCCTGAGGCTGATGTGCCTCTCCAAGCAGCTCAGTCTCTTCCAGAACTTTAGCAACAACAAATAACTCTCTGTCCTGTTCACCCACTGTATGATCTTTGGTCACACACATATGTGCCACCTATGCGAATGTGAAACCGCAGGCACCCTCACCAGCAGAGCCTGCTTACGTGAATGCAGCTGTTGTGTTGGGTGATGTGAGGTCTGCGCAAGTGAAGTTGACAATGACGTTTAAGGAAGCTTATCAGTCAAGTTTCTTGACTTCTCTGGGCTATGTTCTCAAATGTATTGCTGCATTTGTAGATATTTTTCCATTGTTTCTCGATGAAGAGGAGAATGGTTTTAATCCTATGTGTGGAGAGGTCTTTCCTGCCTGGTAAGTAAGTTTACTACATAATAAAAGGTGTATCGGTAGGAAATCTTGGGCCATCAGATGATGCCATTGGTGATCTGAATAGTTCCAAAGGCACAGGCCTTGTGTGTTTCTAGTAAACAAAGAAGTTTCACACATAAATGTTATAAAGAGGTGCTCTTGAAGGTACCCAAAGTTTCATTCTGTTGAGGCAGTATATTAAAAACATACAGAACAAAGATTAAGGGAATTCTAGTTCAGCAATATGAAAAATGCAAATATGTAAATTTTCAGTCTGTCCAGTGTTAAGTCCTGAGATAGTTTCCTCTATTTTTTGTTCTAATATTTTGCTTTTTTTATTTAACTCTTCATCTTTGTAGGCTGTGTGGGTGAGGAAATCTCCCCTTTTTGGCTATGCCATTGACCTCAGTAGTAGAACTAGATGAATTTTGGGGTGCATGATGAAAAAGGATGTGGGTATATGCTTATATTATTCCTCTTACATAGTAGCCTGGGTGCTCTTTCTGTCAGAAGAATTGAATTGGTATCTTCCTCCAGGGTCCCCCAAGCAGTTATATCATATGCTGATATTGAGTCTTTAACCTAACCTTTAGGTGTTTGCCTACATTAAGGAATATTTAATAGACTTAAATTTTCCTTGCATTTAATGAAAATGTGCTTTATTGCATGGAAATGAAGGAGCAACCTTGAAAAAAATACCTGTCTGTATTTTAGTTCTTGCTTAATTCTTAATATGTTTCTGTATAAGGCAAAATTCTTGAGAGGGATTTCCTGCCACCATTATAAAATAGACAGAGACACAGAGGTCCTGTCATTCCTGAAAAAGCTGGGAAAGGTGGTTGAAAACTTGCAAAAGAAGTAATTGAACCAGACCTGCCGTGGGCTGGATAAGATTGTTTTTGCTCTGTGAACTCTTCAACATTTTTCTCCAGTTCCATTCCTTCTGCAGGTAAAATGTTAGCTTTTCACCATTAGTGAGTAATGTGACATGCAATATAAGTACTTGGGTTTGAACACCTCATGGTAAAAAGAGTCTTACACTGATGCAGAAACTAAGAAATCTGTATATAAGTGATACTTAGAAGTGAAATCTCTCACTTAGGTTTTGCTTTATTGCTAGTGTGTTCATCTATCCCTTTGTGCACACAGAAGGGCAAACCATGATTTTATTAATACACTTCCTAAGCTTCATATGAGATAGGAAAAAATTCAGATGTAGATTGTCTAATTGGAAAAAAACAGGAAGGGGGTCAGTGCTTACTCTTCCCTTTCCATGTTAGTGAAGAGCCAGAGCTTTTAGTCTTGCTGTAGTGGAGAAGAACTGAATTTCACTTCCAAGGTTGTATTTCTTAATCGAAAATTTGATGTAATAAGCAGTTTACCTATAGATCTCTCCATTATTTAATTACATTCTTTAAGCTGGTTATTATACAAATTGCTGAATATCTTCAATTGTTTTTATGTATTGTAAGTGAGCAGCTGTGTAAGATAAGTTAAATCACATGTGTAATCCAATAATGTGGCCAAAAGTATTAAGTTTCTCCAGTATTTTGCCTAATTCTGTTGACCTACTTTTCTCATCTGACTCAATAATGAAAAATTTTTTCAAGCAGGTTAGTATAAAATAATAATAAAACAAAAAGAAAAAAAACCTTTTACTTACTTCTGTCAAGTTTTTCATTAGCATAAAGCATTATGTATAATGCATCATATTGGTAGTGGGGAGAACAGATTATTTGGCCTCATAGCTTTTGCTATTGCTGCATCCTCATCAGAATGTGCTCATATGAAGTCTCTGTTTTTAGTGTGGGAGTTGGTTGATTTTAGTAGTGTCCAAATGGATTATGTGTATTTATCATGATTCCTGTTATATATGTTGAAGTACCATTTTCTAGGCTTAAATATCATCTTAAAATAAAAATATCTGCTTCACGAAAACAATATTTCATACAGATAACGCTGATTACTTATATCTTAAAGGTCAAACAAGTCTACCACACAGAAAATCCCACAGAAACACAGAATTGTCTCACTAGAAATACATTGGTTAAGTGCTGGAAGTCTCAATGCTAAGGGAGCAGGTAGCTCAGAGCAGGTAGTGGAGATGAAGGATATCATCAAGACCTCTATAGACAGCAAACCTACTGTTATTTATTAAACTCAAGATTCCCTGTTGCTGCTAATAATGTATTTAGCTGTTCATGATTTTTTTGAAATGTCAGCTATGAAGATGTAGATTTGAAGCAACATCTGGAAATGTGGGTGAGAAGCTTGGGGGGTTGCATATAGCGTGGTGAAAAGACTGAGTTGTTAAATGTGCCTGTTAGATTCTCCTCCTTAGGCTGTCTAAAATCTTTGCTCAAGCTTCTGAAAATACAGGTCAGGAGTTACAGTGCTGTCCTGGTACACCCACAGAAATGTTTCTTGTAAAATTTGATGGATAGTAAGATAGTTGATAGCTGAAGTTGGATAGTTTATTAAGCTTCAGAGTGAGGTAAATTAAGCTTCGTAGCAGCTGAGCTCATTGCTGCAAAAAGGGTGATACTGCCCTTTACTGGTTCTTTTAATTTCTGGCTTCAGGATCTCACATCCTACGTTCCTCACAGGTCTCCAGTGCCCTGCTCAGAGTGGGGTGATGCAGAGAGCAAAATGATGGGAAAACAATTTTGTTTTGATTCCTCCTCCCCCTCTTCTGTAGGAGAATTTTCTGTTGGTTCAGGTTCATGGGTTAGCTCACTGAGAGGGCTCTGTTGAATGTCCGTATCAGGGCCTAAGGAACAGGCATGCAGCCAGGGGTAGGAGAGGAACTGATTGCCCCTTTTGGAAGTGTCTGGACGTTTATCTGGTACCCATCTGAAACTTTATCTTTGCCAAGAAAATCTCATAGAAACCAACAGGAGAGCTTGATTTTCCTCAGAGATAATATGATAAGAAAGAATTTATCACTAAGTATTTAATTGTTATTTTTCCCCACAGAAGGGGAAGAGAAGGCTGGAGGGCTGAGTGCCTTTTGCTGAGCTTGTGATTAGAAACTGGGTCTTTTGGGTAGCAGGATGCTTAGCCAGTTGATTGGTGTAGTGTCAGGCTGCTTGTTATTTGGGGCAGCTGGAGAAAAAGTGCTACTTCTTTGAAAGCCGGATTTTAGGAAAGCAATATACCTGTTAATGCATCTATGTACTCCTACAGCTAAGCTGGAAGTCTGTCCCTCATTAATGTATGTAATGACGGACAGCAAACCTTAAGTAGTCTCTCATACCTAACAAAAGAAAATACAATGGATTGTTAATATGGAGATTTGACACAGAAATTTTTTCTCAGATTCTTGTATAGCCGGTGTGATTGTTGAGTGTGTTTTGGAATCTTTAAGTCGTGTGTTAGTAACTCAGGTTTCGAAAACAGAAGTGTGATACTGTAAATGAAGATTGATTTGTTACTCCTGGTGTATAAAAAACATTGATTAAAAAACAATGCAAATTTGCTCAGGCGTTTATATTTCTGCTTTTATTCTGTACCTGGTAGATACCTCTGTTTAAGACTTTGCGATTTTTGACTTGTTATATTGGGATCAATTTCTGTTAAAGTGAAGCGATTTGCTCATGAGCTTTGAAGAAAGCATAATAGGAGTACATGTGTCTGTTATTTTTCTCCTTCAGATTCTCCTATGCAGTTTTCCATGTGCAGTGTGTATTTTGTAAGAGGTACATTTATTATTGTAAACATGCCAAGAATGTTAGGTAGCGTTATAAACTGAAAGAAAGAAATACACAGTATTAGTGTTTCCTCCTATTCTTGCTATATAAATTTTTTTCTCATCTATGCAGGAGGTTGCATCAACAGTTTGAAAGCTATAAAGAGCAAGTAAGAAAGATAGGGGAAGAAGCCCGCCGTTACCAGGGAGAGCACAAGGATGATGCTCCAACATGTGGAATCTGTCATAAAACAAAGTTTGCAGATGGTTGTGGCCATTTATGCTCTTATTGCCGGACCAAGTTTTGTGCTCGATGTGGAGGTCGTGTCTCTCTGCGATCAAACAATGTAAGTCTTCTGATGTGTACTCTTAGAAAAAGCTTCCTTGACATTGTCACGCTGCAGATTGTTCACCTTAAGTTTGGCATTTCATGCTTCATTTTACTTAAGTGTCTCATTCATCACTTCATTATGAGGTGTGTATAAAGTAGAATAATGTATTTAATGATTATGGCAATTCTTAGAATTCATTGAGTCAATTAAAGAAAAAGAGGAACACATGGTGTGTGATAGCTTGAAAATATTCTCATTTTGCATAGAATGGAAGAGGAAACTGTTTTGCCCAGGTGCAAAGCCACATTGATAATTTTTTATTGAACTAATTTAATTTTAGATTTCTTCTATAGAGCTTTTAATATACATTTATAGATTTTTCTTACATAAAATCAGTTAATCTTGGGGGTAAAAACTTATCCAGCAACACAGTGATAGTGTTATGTCAATTTATTTTAAATTTATTTAAAAAGTAAAACTATAGATTAATCTGGGTTGGGTATCCTACTCTCAGGTGAGAGAAATCTTTCTCCCTCTGGTCCACACGCAGTTAGCTGCAGTAGCTGTCCATAAAAACAAAGGGTATCAAAGAATACCCTCTGTTCAGTCAGTCCGCTCCAAAGAACTGGCTACTCACTTGTATATGAGTGGCTGGCTCTGTGTTTGGAAGACCATTACCCAGTGATTATTTTTAGCTGATCATTTAGGACTATCGTGTGTTATAAAATGTTTTTTTTTTATTGCATGACTAAGGTTTTTTTATCTATCATGAGATGGAATAACTTTCTTATATGGCTTTAAGGTGCCAATCTTTTGAAGGGGAAATGCATCAATGCTCTTTGTCTCAAAACAAATTCAGTTAAAAATGGTCACGAATTTTATGACAGATAATCGTGTTCACAATAGAACTAGTTTATGGCCTTTCACTTTCTTTGTGCTAAACATCAACAGAAGAGGGCTTCTGAACTTTCATGTAAACAACAACAAAAAAATCCCGAGAAAAAAATGCATTTAATCTTTATGTGGAAGTTTTCTGTAGCTGTGATGTATTTGTGAGTCTATTAAATTACATTCACATTCTGAAAAAGTTACATAGGCAAAAATATTCAGATGTTCATGCTTCAATATATGAACAGATGCATTCAATACAAATAGATGCATTACATTGCATCACCCATAGGTGGTGTCATTAGAGCAAGTCTATGAAAATACCGTTTACTTTGATATGTTATACTATTAATTAGACTGTGTATCTTACAGCGTATCTTTACTCAGAAAAAGATGGAATGTATTGTAATTATTTTTTACCCACTGTTTCAAGTCACAGAAATGAAGAAGTGTTTGTACTTTCATTCATTTGTAACTTGCCTTTTGTTTGTTCTGTTTATGCTTCTGTGGCTTAGGATGGGAAAACATGTTTTCTACATACGCAGTAATGTCATCTTTTTGTTTAAAGCTTTTTTATTTTTTCTTCGAAATTTTATGTTTTAATCTCTTTGTAGAGAGTTACTAGAATTGCATTTCTTTGAAATCTGTCTATTAATACTTGCCTATTTTATTCTTTTTCTCTTCTTTTTTTTCTTTTCTCTTTTTATTCTGCTTCCTTGGATGCTTTCCCAAAGGAGGACAAAGTGGTTAGAATCCATGCTTTTTATCATTTATTATTATATTGTTGTTAGTTATCTGGGAAACATTTTAATGTAAAAAACTGAACTGAAATTTTAGTCATCTAAAGGGGAGGGGGGAAGTACAGGAGTCCTAACATCTAGGCCCTGCCTATCCCCTAGCTTAACACAGGCTTCAGAGATAGCTCAGCAAAGAAACTGGAGACTGTTGTCAAAATTGGGACAATAAAAGAAATCAGTTAAGAACTTAGAATTATTAATAGGCTATAAAATAGAGGAGGTAATAAAGTGTACTAAAGCTTTAGTTCGTAAAAATGTCTTTGGTTAACATCTTGACTATTTCAATGGAAGGTCCTTCCATCACGTTTAGGAAATCTAATTTAGTATTTTAATTGTAATTTTACATTGATTTATGTGGTTTGCTGTGTTTCATTGGCTGCAGCAGAAATTCAGGGAATTCTTGTGAAATCAGCTTTTTACTTAACATTTGGAATAATACACATAGGCAAAGTTTAACCTCTTAAAGCTGGACACAGGTACAGTGAGCAAGATAGAGGGAATGCTTTGCAAATGTGTAATTGACATTTAAAAAATTTGCAAACCTTTTAGGATCAAGTACTGGCATACGCACTACTAACGTCTGTGCCGCTGTGCCGTATCTGAGATACATGAGGGTAGTTCCCTGTTCACCTCTGCATCCTGTGTATAGAGAAAGGGATAGTAATGCTTTAGCAGAACAGTGCATGTTCACTTACAGCCTCTTCTCAGGCAGGTTTGCAAAACGTGGTATTTTAACTTGGAGACTTAGGTAGTGGGAATTAGTCAGCAGCTGAGACAAGTGTAAAGTCATTACAGACCAATGTAGTTTTGGACATGTGGATGGTGGTGTTATACTTGTATTATGAAGTGGTGGTATGCCCCAACTTGAATTATAGCATAAATGTAAGCTTTTATAGTTTTATACTCTGTAACACTCAGAGAAAATTATTTCTATCTCACCTGCATATTGTGGTAGATTTTTTTCCTAAGGCAGCAGTGTTCTAAGAGCAAGGTTGTTTTTCTAATGGTTATGAAGGATAACTCACTACAGCTTCATTCCACTGTTTTTGGTGTAGTACTCTGAAGAAAGCGCTGAAATAATCTGGGACTTCCAGATCTTTTCCATTCTATTCATCTAATCACTTAGGATAGAGTTGGAGAAGTTTCAGCTTGGTAACTAATGTCTTACTAATGCAGTGCATCGTTGATGCATCCATGGGTGTGTATTAAAAGGCTAGTGCACTTGAAACAGTCGTCTTCAGGGCCAGAAACAGCAAAGCTCTTAAATGCCGTAAGTGCCATTTAGGTACGATTTAGCCACGTAGGTTTTGGAGAGCAGTACAGGCAAAACTTCATCTGACTTGCTTATGTGCTTGAGGCATCCTTCATGCTTCAATCTGGGACAAAAACTTTGCTAGATAACTGAAATAGTGATAGTCCACATAGAGTAGAGAATGTGCCTTTGATAAGGTGACAGCTTAGGTGCTCATCTTTGAAAAATGTCATTTGGGATGCAGAAACTAGACTCCACTGAAGTGCTCTGAAGACATGTTTCCTGAAGATGTACCTGACTCATTTGGATTGTCCTAAGTTCAGTTAAAAATACTCTTACAGTTTGCCCTTGCCTTGATTTAGGTTTTGTGGTGTTGAACTCCAAGCTTCCGCATGCCAAGAAAATGCCCCAATAATATACTTGAAAATATCTTCTGTACCTTGTGATGAAGCTAAGCTACATCTCTTTAACAGCTGGAAAGTTCAGGGAGTCAGAGGGAGAGTATCCAATAGTTAGTCCTGATTGTGTGAGGAACCTGGGAAACTTTTTTATAAAGTACAATTGTTTTAGCAGTGCTTGTCTCTGAAGGCTAATGAAATATATAGAACAAATTAGTTAAAAAACATTAACACATATCTAGCAAATAACATCCTTTGTAAGCAGAACAACTGGTATAACTCATGTAAAGCAACATGAGAAAAATATTTTGTTATTATTTGCAGTGGCTCAACTTTCTTGATTAATCTACATATAGGGACAAACCCTTCTATATCTGATGAGTTTAATGTTAGTAAAGACTTTTTAAACATGTTTATATGAGCCTTGTTCTCTCCACATGAATTTTTACCACAATGAATTATATTAATATTAAAACACATGCACCAAGTTCCTACAAGTTAAGAGTGCATCAGTTGGAAAGGATGATGAAGTGTGTGATACCAATTCCAGGAAAAGTCAAGCATTGTCATAGATTTGAGCTATTTCATGTAGAGTTGCAGAATTAATGAGACCTCACCTGGGAGGTTGTGTAACATGTGTTACCCAGCTTTGACAAATACAAACTGTGATAGGCGCAAAGAAAGTCATGCAGAGGATGGTCAAAGAAATAAAAAGCTGTTTATATGGGAGAAGACTAGAGACTAGGGAGACAAAAGCCAGAGTAATCATAACTGATATCTAGAAATATATTAATTTTAAACAATAAAAATAACCTTCAGTCAAGAGGATAGTAAATGCAAAAGACCGATTGGGTGTAACTTGGCCGTAAATGCTCTTGGCTTGGAAAAAGGTTTTGCAATCAGAAGAGTAAAGCCTTGGGAAATGTTTCCATTTTAAAGGTTAAATTTGAGAAGTTTAGGAAAGGATTTAAGCAATGCAGTTGTTTGTGGCTATAGAGGAGTGTATTAGGTCCTGAAGAGAATCCTGGCAACTGTTACTTCTAGCTAAATACTTTTAAAATGGGGTATAAATAATGTAATACTTTTCAAAGCTGTTCTTCACCTTTCCAAGTAACTAACCAAATGTATTTGAAGGACTGTTTCAAAAATACGTAGTGTATGTGCTCTGTTCATTTAAAATAATAAAGGACATCCCAAAGCGTTCATTCCTTGTAGTGTGTTAGTTGGCATCTTAGGTTTGTCAAGACATGACTCCAGTATGCTTACTAAATTAATTGGCAATAACTGGTACATCCTAGTGGCTAATGAGGCACATAATTTGCCATGATTCTTATTCTAATATGTCAAAATATACACCTAAATATGTGTCTTGAGTTCTTCCATATTCTTTGAGTATTGGTTAGCTTTTCATACTTTTCACCAGAGCCTGCTTGATCTTCATATGGTTGAAGGCAGGCCACATTTAATGGGAGCATTGTCAGATAAGAAGACTGATAGCTAGTCTGTTTATTCAAATCAGACTTAAATGTAGTTGTACAGTGAGAGTATTCATTGTTAATAATATTACCAGTAATACTGGGTTTGAAAACAGTTGGCAGTTCTCTGATGTACAGAAAAAGGGCAAATGTTTTCCTTCATGTTACCTTAGTATTCAGAAACGTTATGTGAATGTGGCAACCCATTCACTGTGACCCCTGTGCATTTCTGCATACTTCTAAAGAAGGGAGAATGTTATTAGTACAGAATTTTACATGAGACTTCATTTCAGAAGGAAGTCATGTAGGTGCTTAGAGAAAAGCTACTTTTGGTACAAGGTTTTCTAGGTGTTGTCAGTGCCTTAGAGTGTGTCTGCACTTTCACTCTGGATCCTTCAAGTTGTGTTTCGTACACCAGCATTTTAATTCTTTCCATTCCATTCACTCTCCCCTCTGATATGAACTATCGGGGTTATTAGGCAGTGGAGAAGCCAGCAAAATATCCCGCTGGAGCTTCTCCCTGGTTTGGCAAGGAGTAGGCAGAGCTCTGGCTCAGTACTCCTGCTTGCTCGCTCTGTTCTTCTCTCCAGTGGTACCACAGCCTTTAGAGAAAAAAAAAAAAACACCTGAAAATACAGCTTTTTTTCCTTGCATCATTCCTGTAAAACCTCTTCCTAATATTTGGTTAGGCAATGTGTTTCCTTTGTAAAGCATCTGATGTATGAAGTCGTATGGCTCTGTTTCTCCTTACAGAAAAGGAGATACATTTTGGGTTACAAAAGTAGTCTTGAATGAGTGTATGCAGTTTCTTTGGATCAAAATTAAAGTTTTTTTGAGGTGCTGTGGGTGTATTGAACTAAGTGCAATTTGTATGATATTGTCAGTTAAGTGGAAGTTCCATGTTCCAGATTAAGCTAAATATTTATCTGTAGAAATCAGTCTACCATTCTAAAGATTTCATTAAGATTACAAGCTTTGATGAAGTTTAAAATGAAAAGAATTGAGAGCAAGTGATGAAAGACAGTTTTGCCACTGTTTCCTGTGTTTTCCTGAAATGTTAGTTGCGCAGAATAGAGCTGTTTGCTTACGCATTTTTCTGTTTGCTTATGCATTTTTCTGTTTGCATACATAAGGACAACTGAGGGGAAATCAGGATGTAAAATACATTGTAAATAGAATGGAATTGATTTAACTGAACTTAGTGGTATGCGGCTGCAGAAAGTAATGCCAGTTATCAGTGCTGAGATACTGGAGATTCATATTTCTGATCTGGCTTTCACTGAAATTGTTTTCATTTTAGTATAATGTCAGTGATTTATACTTGTAAAGAAAGACAACTTGGAAACATTTCCCTAATTGTGTGTCAGGTATTTTTACAGGGTGTTTGTCATTTAGTTCCTTTAAATTATGCTTCAAATTTCCTTACATAATGACTTGCTAATTTAAGCCTTACTAACTTGAGTGCATATGCCATGCAATTCAGCTGTGTACTGTTGGTTTTAACAGAAGTTGTTAATATTGCCAGAACAAAATGTCTGGATTGTCAGGAGTGTTTTTACATCCCTTTCACAGAACTCTTATGTCAATTTGTTCGTTAAAAGGCTAATTTGTGTGAAATTCTGACTAATACTGCTGCAGAACAACAATAAAAAAATCCATCAGAAAGAAATAAGATTGCAAATCAAATTGCAAAGTGATAGGAGATAAATTCTCTCTCTCTAACATTCAACATTATTTGTTTCCTAAAAGATCTGGGGTTTGTATGCATCAGGAAAGAAGCGCTCATTTTCAGTTATCGCTCCCTGGAATTTCTGCTTTCAGCAG